GGGAGGGCCTGTAGGGGTCCGGACGTGCTGTCCACCTGAGGGGGGCAGACACCCGGGAGCCGGTGGCCATGGCCCTGGCCAGGGGTGCTTGCTCTCACAGCTCTTGACTGCCCCCGAGAGCTTCCCCTACCCAGGCCGCGTTTGATGATACGTACCACGTGGACAGTTCTAGAATGTGGTTGTTGTAGTTAAAGCATATTGAGCCGGTTCCAACCCACAGGGACCCTGTGCACAGCAACGAAACACTGCCCAGTCCTGCGCAGTTCTCACCATCGTCCCCACACCCGAGCCCATCGATCAGCCACTGTGTCCGTCCACCTCCTTGAGGGCCTTCCTCTTGGTCACTGCCCTCTGCTTGACCAAGCAAGATGTCCTTCTCCAGGGACTGGTCTCCCCTGACGACACGGCCACAATCCGTGAGACCATCGTGTCTCTCAGGAGCCCTCTGGCCCTAGTTCTTCCAGCACAGATGGTGTGTCCTTTCAGCTGTCCCCGGTACTTTCCGTCCTCCTCAACGCCACAACGTAAACGCATCGAGTCTTCTACGGCCTCCCTTGTTTCGTGTCCCCCTCTCATGTGCCCTTGGTGCCGTGGAGAACCCCATGGCTGGGTCAGGCACACTTCGGTCCTCAGAGTCACCTCCTCGCTCTTCCGTGCTCTGCACAGACCGCGCACAGCAGACCCACCCCGTGCAGCGTGCCCTGTGATGTCCGACCGCTGCTTCCATGCGCACGGACTGTGGAGCCAAGCCAGACAAGACCCTGACGAGGCCCCCTTTCTCCAGTGACCACGATGCTCTCTGTCGGTCTCACTGTGAGGGTCCTGCCCTTCCCGACCTTGAGTCGTTGTCCATGCTGGGGGCTGCCGTCCTCGACCCTCGTCAGCGAGGGCTTCGCGTCCTCCTCACGGGCAGCACGCAGGGCTGGGTTGTCTTCTGATCCCACATGGGTCGTTTCTCATCTCCCCTCCTTTTCCTGACCAGGCCCTTTCTTGGGGTAGAGTGTCACCCCACAGGGTGTCAGGGGTAGGGTATCACCCCACAGGACATCAGGGGTAGGGTATCACCCCACAGGACATCAGGGATAGGGTGTCACCCACAGGGCATCAGGGATAGGGTGTCACCCCATTGGGGGTCAGGGCTAGGGTGTCACCCACAAGGCATCAGGGCCCCTGTCAGTAGCGCAGTGTGCTTCATGTCATCAGCGGTCAGTCACCAGGGGTCGTGTGCAGACCAAGTGGACACTGGCTGGCACTGGACCAGGGCTCCAGATATGCCTCCATCTGAGCCCTGTGGCCTCCCTGCACCCCTGCAGAATGACAGGCAGCGCTTTGGGGCCTCCCTGGGCAGCCTGTCCTTCGGCCGTGTGTCCGTCATGAACATGTCCATCACCAACTTGAAGCTGGCCGTGTGCATCGCCCTGCGGTTCTCGGCCACGCGGCGCCAGTTTGGACCGAGCGACGCGGAGGAGGTCCCGGTGCTGGAGTATCAGCAGCAGGTAGGCAGCGCTGGTGGCCGGGCACGGTGCCGACTCCAGGTGGATCGTGGAAGTTGATCCAGCTTATGAGAAAGAGGTGCCCGATGGGGTCGTGGATCCTCGATAGATGCCACTCACCAGGGCGGCCATTCAAAACCACCAGCCTCTGCCCGGAGGAAGACAGGACTTCCCTCTCCCGTG